TCTAGCCAATGCGAACCTCCTAATAATACCAGTAGCCTGGCTGTCTTTGGCTTCATTACTTACCGCTGACCTGAAACATGCGTGTAAAAGACAAAGTCAGAGTTAAATCAAAAGACCTGCTCCTCATACTTGTTCTGAGTCTCTGCATCAGAACATATCAAAGCCATAAGATCAGCAGGACATCCAGGCTACTAACAGCAATGGCAGCCTCTGTATTACCTCTACATAGGTTTCCTTTAAAATGGGATAAATCAAAGCGCAAAGTGAGATAAACCACAGTAAGAAATCAAAAATTCCTCTTTGGCGGACAGCTGAAATTTGATTTGTTGCTGTGATGTACTATATTCTGAGGAACAGCATTACATTGTGCACTGCCTTATGAAACAAGGGTGATTATTCTGTGGACTCACCTTTTGGTCAAAGAAAGCTCTTCAACAGGACCTTTACCATAGTAATAAAGAGGAAAAAGGCAGGTGGGGAGATATGCAAAGTTGAAGAACATTTTAGGATACATTTGCACAGGCCATACATGGGTTGAATTCCGAACAATTTTTCGATCGAAAATCGAAAACATTGTTCGTTCTGTAATCCGATGGTGCCACCAATGATTTTGAAAATCGGTTGTTTTTTTCACGAATTTTCCAGCATGCCCGATAAATGAATTGGGGAGGAACCACGAAAATCAGCCAGTGCCATTGCCCCACTAACAGAACGAAAATCGGCCGTTTATTCTTAGGTCTGATTTTCGAACAAAACATCCTTCGAAAATCGACTCATGTATGGCCAGCCTTAGCCACGCTGCATATACCAGCAGCAGGAATCCACTGATTCCTGCAGCTGGGACTGACAGCTGTCTGCAGATGGCTTTGAGCCTCCGAGCCCACATGACATGACTGTTTGCACAGCCAGTGATTACCTGCAGTGATTGTGGCTGGACGCAGGGTCGTCTTAATAGAATAATGGACCCCTGGGCAAAGTAATGCCCTGGGGCCCATACTAGGGAGATGTGCACAAAAAGCGAGTGTGGCTAAATTATGCTAAATATTGGGATTGGCTTTTTAGACCCCATTCACACTTGTGCGACTTCCCATACGACTTCGGACATTAAAGTCGCATGACAGGTCGTACCCCATATTTTCCAATGATCACTATTACATAGAGATGTGAGATGTGATTGGCTACAGTACACAGCTTTGCCAGATTTTGCACTCTCCATTTTTAGTAAATCAACCCCATGGTATCATTAATAGTAACCACATGCCTTACAAACTGATTATACAATCTACTATTAAACGGTGCCTTAGGTTGTTGCATTTTGAATATCACTGCTTCATTTAAAGAGCCAAATTCCAGCAAATGAATCAGGATGACACAAAAACATAATTTTCAGTGGGCACACCACTGGAACCCCTCCATAAAAGGATAATCTTGTAGGAATGTCATGAGCAGTGTGCACCCTTCCTGCTAGAGAAGACTCTGACCTCTAACTTGTCCCAGCCTGTCAGTGGAATGATGATAACATTTTACTGTGCAGATAGAGAGTGAAATTATGTGTGTGGGGGCCAGACATCAATGGGGAGAGAGGGACAGAGAACAGCATTGCTGGACAAATTCAATTTTGGATAGAGAGAGAGGAAAAAGAGAAAAGAAGGGAACTTTTATTTACTGGAGATGAAGTTTTCCTTTGTTCACAGGACTCTTGGAAAGTACAGCTTTTAGATTTAAAGTGACAAGTCTTCAATCTTGTCCACTCAAAATGATGAAGTACATTGCCTTTTGCTTGCCTTACATGGACAGATGTCTCATTGCTTGAAATCTCTGAGCCGAAATCTTCCGTGGGACATTTATTAGAAGTGCATGCACAGTTAAAGCAGAGCTTCACTCCAAAGGGAATGTTCCTCTTTATTTTCCCAGCTCCCCATAACCCCTCGTCCCCATGGTTGTCTAACACTTTTTGGGCATTTTTTGATGGGGGGGGAGCAGGTACCTAGATTTGGTAGGTACCCCGCTCCCACTTCTAGGCGGATCACCTAGGGGATTCAACTGGAAGTTTGTCTCCTTCCACTAACCCCCCACCTACAACCTCTTGGGACACAGCTTGGACCACAGCTGAAGTGAAATTCATCTGATTCCCCATCCATGCGATATAGAGTGGATAGAGGAATCTCCACTGCCATCCATTGTATTCAAACACAAGAACAAACAGGGGCGCTGGCTTCAGATTTTCTATGGCTCACTGAAATGGTCACTGGGTACACTACTTTGCCTATTCAGTGTTTCTTTAAACTGGGAGGTAAAGCTAGTTTAAAAGCAGATCTATAATATTTCTTGTCAATATCTACAAATCTCTTATTTTCAAAAATAATGGGAAAATAAGCATGTAAAGATGCATAAGTCGAATAAAAGATTACTTTAGGGTTAACTGCAAAAATAACTTAAAATGTGCAAACACGAATATACTGTGCTTTCCCTTTAACACTTCCTTCCCTCTTCTATATTTAAGCAATAGTGCTTCTGTGGGTGAGATGGACTCTAGAGCACTAAGGGTCCTTCCCATGAGCATTCTGTCTGTCAGTTTTTTATCCGTCTGTTGATGGATGAAAATGGACAGCAATGCATTCCTATGGACAACTGGATAAAAACCGGATGTCGTCCATTTACATCAGTTTATTGTCAGCTTCCGTTCAGGTCCGATTTTTAAATGGAACAAGTCTGCATTTTTGTTACGTAAAAAAACAGAAGGGAAGAAAAACGGATGTAAATGGCCAAATGGTCTGTTTTTCTGTCCCTTTGTGCATTGGTAATGGATGTGAAAAACTGAAGTAAAAACAGATCCATTTTTTCTTTGAAAAAACTAATGAGTAAAATGAAATGCCAATGTGAAAGGGGCCTTATATGTGGCCCAATTCTTATCACAGGTAAAGCTGGGAATCTACCTTTGTATGGACATAGCCTTATGTTGCCAAGTGTTTTCTATCATTATCAGCTGAAGGAGTTATGCAATTGCTGATTAATATCAACACAGCTGTAGCAAGCTATAACATGCTAAAATATGCAAGGTGGAAATTGCAGTAAACAGGATTTATTATGACTATATGTGGATAAAAAGTCACATCCAAGTTGAACCCATCCAAAGCTGCACCAAAATTGCGTCAAAGTTGCAATGTAAAGTTGCAAATAAATCAAATGACTTTGGAGTCGCACAAGTGTGAATGGAGCCTAACAATATAAACATACTGAGTAGAGAATCATGCAAGGCTTCCCCCTCTGCTGCCAGGACCTCAGCTCACATCTGGGCCGGAAGGGGAAAGCTGCTCAATCTCTGTAGAACACATAGCCTTACAGTTGCGATCTGCAGTGGATGTCAATGTTAATTTAATGACACCCAAAACACAGGTTGCAAACGCAGTGCCTTTTTCTCCACCAGATTGCATGGTACAGAAGTACTAAGCGATCCAGTTTCAGTGCATTTTTTCTTGTCCAAATATTTTATGTGCATATCTTCAGTGCATTTTTTAAAGTAGTTCATGTACTACTTTTAGTGTGATCCAGTGCGATTCAGCCCTTTCAAAGTGAATGGGCTCAAATCACACTGCACTACACTACACCTGGTGTGAACCGGCCCTTAAACATTTGCAGACTTATGCATCTGGAAACGTAAAGCCTAGTGTCCCAAAACAAATAATTAGACATCACTGCAATGGAATCAAATTCTTAATGCCTGTTCACACCAAAAGAAGGTGAGTTTCCTGCATGCACTGTAAGAGGAAGATGCATGAAGAAAAAAGAATGCCATGAAGTAAAGGCATACATCCTCAGTAAAAGAAGAGAGAGACAGCAAATTCAATATAATTAAATGAATACATAAAATTTAGGCAAATCCTGCAGCAATAACACATATAGCAAATATATTGTCTTACCTTTTTCTTGTCCCTGGTGTTCTTGGCCAGGCATGACCTAGACAAAGCCAGGTAACCACCAATCACTTTGATCTCATCCACTGTTGGATAGCGCTTCTTTCCCGAGTCCGGCTTAGCAGTTGGGGTCTTGGTCTCTGTGGCAGCAACACCATTCTCACAGACAGGCGCTTTACGTGGGTTGACAGTAATGGTGTTGCCTTTTCTCCTCTGCATTGCTTGGCTCTCCACTGGTCCTCTTTTGAAGGTCTGGAGGTTGGATGGTGCCTTGGATGGACTGAGACCTCTTTCCCCATCTTCTACTGATTTCTCAGGACTGGGTTTCAAAGTTTCTGGTTTTGTTTGGGTTGGTGAAACCTGGGCAGCCTGTTTGAACTGTCTGGGAGAGCCCGCAGATGCTGGACGTAGCTGGAAAGGAAAAGACCTGACTTCTTCTGTCATGCTAGGCCTGTTGCTAAAGCCACTCATGGCCGTGGGGGCCACACAGGGCGAGAGCTCAGCTGGCTCAGAGTCAATGCAGGAAGGGGAAGGGGAGACGTGGGAGGAGAGAGTGGTTTCCTGAGTTAAAGTCTGGCTTCCCGTGACAGCTCGATGACAGGAAGGAGAAGAAAGAACAGGGTTGGCAAAAGCAGTAGAGGCCTGGGTTTCAAAGTCAGTTAATACAACAGGACTAGGTGACAGAGTCTTGGATGGCGAGCTTGCCTCCCCATTTATCCGCTGCAAACAAGGATCACTGTTTTCATCCTCTGTCCTTGAGCCTCCAAAACGGCTAAGCAACCTGCTTACCCTTCCCTTACCTTCTACAGAAAGAGGCTGGTGTTCTTCTAACCGAGTCTCTTGGTCCTTTACCTCATTAGCAAGGTGAGGATCCCTGACTATGTCTTCTGCCTTTGCAGTGCGATTGACTGCCTGCTCTGTGATAGGCTTAGACTTTGTACAGGAATACTCTGGGATCCTCTTCTGCTTCTCCTGTTGGATAAACGGATTTTGCTGAACCGGCCCAATATTTTCCCTTAGGACCCTGCTCTCTTTTTCTTCTTCCTCTACAACAGCGATCTTCTCTCTCTCTTCCTGTTCCCCATCTTCCAATTCAACTTTATTCTCCAACATTGATGCCTCAGCTTTGGCCTTGCGTCGTAGAATGATCTCTCTTTTCCAGGCAGGCATCTTGGCAAGTCTTTCCTCCTCTTCCCTTTCTTTCCTCTTTGCCTCTTCCTCTTCTTTTCTTTTCCGCTCCAGTAGATGAAACTTCCAGTCAGGGACTTCCATCACAGCCTGGCTATGGAATCCAGTTACAAAGCGTGATTGTGGACTCAGCTCTGGCCTATTGTCCCAACACAGTGGACAGAATCCGCCAAGGTGGCATGTTGTACAGAAGACAATGTAGTAAGCCTTTGGTTTTTTAAACTCCTAGGAAAGAAAGAAAATATAAATTTAAAGAATGGCAGCAGAAGGTCTGGAAACAAAGAAGCAATAGAGTAAAGTTGACCAAACACCGATTGAAAATTTGCCAGTTCAATAGGGCCAGGCCAAATTTTGATCAGAGTGTGGCCTCCGCCACTTGATAGAAGTCACATATTTAATCAACTTCTATTGAAGGGACATGTCAAATTTTCCTAAATCTGTGTATTCTGACAGCAGTAGATGCTGCTGTCAGAATACAATGTTCTAAGCGGGAGGGATTCCTCCATCCACTTTATTTGTGTGAGTGAAGGATTATTTTGTCCTTCATGTGTATGTGCATGAAGCCTCTTCTACACAAGGTGTGTACGTTTTTGGGGGATTTTTCACTTTCCTTCCACAAATCAAAGAGGTACTGGTAGATAAGTCATCTTCCAATTTTGCATCTTATTGATCGTAAAAGCCTGTGATTGTGGTAGGGACATTACTTTATGTGTTACTTTAAGGGCCATGACTGTAATTTACAACACAATTCTCTGAAAAATACTAAAAGATATGTTGGAACAATAAACACACAAAAAGTATTTATTAGCATTTATTTTGTGATAAAATAATCTCAGAAGGAATAAAAACAGAATTAAATGTGCTAGAAAAAAGTTTACACTGCAGAATAGTGAAAGTTTGGAACAACTTGTGAGCTGCATAAGAATGGAAAAAATGAATAAAGGAAATGTAAGAAGAGATAAAGAGGTGGATGTAGACACTGAACAAGAAATAAGAGCAATGTCTGGTTTCTCAATGGCCGTATTTATATAATTGTGGCCATTTACCTTGTTTTATTTGTCAATGGTTTCAGAGAGCACACTACAGACTAAGGTGTTCTAGGGTTTGTATTAGTAGCATTTATAGAATAAAAACTCAGTCTTCCTTAACCAGTAGAATGTAGCCTTTAGCAATATGGTGGGTGGTGACAAAGTGCTCCGATCTTCTTTTGAAGAACAGGATAGGCTGGCATGATACCTTACGCAGTACTTTTGATTTGTTGTGAGTGCACAGATAACCTAAAATTCCTAAACAGCAAGAATGGTGTAGACTGGAGACAGATTGATATACGGAAGGATGACAATGGACTTAGGAATGGTAATAAAGAAATCAAAGTCGAACGCAGGAAAAAAATACAAAGTAAGGCACCAACCAGTATCACATGTAGGCAATAGTACAGTTGTACAGAATAGATAGAGAGAGGTAACACAGTGCAATCATACATAGTAGAGAATCAACCCAGGATAATCATACATAGCAGAGAGATAGCTCAGCATAATTATACCTAGCAGAAAAACAGTCCAACACAATCATACATAGAAGAGACATTTCAGCACAATCAATCATAGCAGAGAGACAGCAGAGCACAGTAGTACAAAGCGTTGAGGCAGCAAAGCAAAATCATATAGAGATTTGAGACAAGAAAGTGCAATTATTTAAATATCTGAGACAGCACAGTGCAATCACAGAGGGCAGGGAAATGGCACTATAAAAAGGGAGAGGAGACAGTCGAGTATAATTAGACAAAGGAACTGGACAGTACAGTGTAATCAGCCATCCAGGCAACGAGACGGCACAGAGGCAGCCAAGGAGCAAGACAACACAGACATCCTTAGATTGGGTTCTATGAATTGTCACAGGATAGTGAGACATCTTAGAGCAACCAGACAGGGAAGGGGGGGGGGGGGGCAGACGTCAGGAAACACCACAGGCTTAATATAGCAGGACACATATCACAGAAATATGGGGGTGGGGGGGCATTGAAAAGCAGCAAAATATTGTAGGGGCAACACAGAGCAATTAAAATATATGGCGACAGCATAAATGACATGCCAAGTGTCACTGAGCCGAGTCCAGACAGCCGTGATTGGAAGACATGCACAGTTTGGGTAATCAGGCCAGTCTATAGAGACAATGGCAAGACAAAGGCGCAGCTGTTCACACACACTCTGAGATATATACACATACACGGGGCTCTGCTATGAAACCTGACACATAGGCAGCATATAGAACAAGTACCCATCACTGTAAGGACAGATAGAGAATATATAAACAGAAGGTTGTATATGCCATAGAATACAAACGTGTGTGTGTGTGTTGCATATCTATTGTATATAAAAGTTATAACCTAAATGTCTATTAATAAAAAGCAGCATAAAAGGTGTACAGTATATATATATATATGTACAATATAAAAGAGATAAATTCTAAGCTATATGGCAAAACAGAAGAAGCAGCATACAGTACAAAATACAGTATATATGTTAAAAAACTGAAAACAGTCTGTGCTGTTTTTGGCAACTAATCAGATTCTTCCTTTCCCTTTCCAAGCTTCCCTGGAAACTTGCAAAGGAAAATTTAATGGGCTGTAAAATGAAGATGGGCCAGTTTGATATATGAGGCCCAGTGTTCATATATATTTCACACACATACATATACAGTATATATATATATATATATATATATATATATATATATATACACATACAAACATACACAGTATATTATATATATATATATATCACACATACACAGCATATACTGTATACGTGCACATATATATATAAATATATATATATATATATATATATATATATATATATATATATATGCAACAGACAATATATATATATATATATATATATCTATCACACATACACAGCATATACTGTATACGTGCACAGACATTTTATATATATATATATATATATATATATATATATATATATATATATATATATATATATATATATATATATGCAACAGACAAGAGGTGTAGGTATGTCTACATTGCCCAGCGTGATATATATCCATTTGTCATTCTACAGTATGTGAAATCTATGTCTAGGAGCAAGACGATCAGTACGTGTACATCTCATTTTATGCAGCAATATTCAGAAATGACATGATGGACAGTACAGATGTACATACCACTGCTTGCCTGTTCTCCAACGCTGGGTACAAAAGCTCGCTCCCGCTATGTCCAGTGACCCATTCTGACGTGAATGTCCATGGAAATGGACCAGGGATAACTGTTGTCGACTCTCCTCCTACAACCTAAGTTTCAGTGAAAAAAATAAACAAATGCTTATAGTGGGTAAGGGTTTAGAATCATAGAAATCACAGCCAGATCCTGATTCTTCTAGGATTTCTCCAGGAGAAAAGTTGGGATTTTTAGAATATGGGAAGCTTATACTTGGAGGATTAAAAAAAAAATCTTACATTTCTCTTTCTGGATAAGAGAATGTGGAATAAAATCCCTTTAAATGAAGGAGAGTGAGAGAGAGAAGAGGGTGTGTGGAAAGAAGAAATTGAATCAGAGACAGAAGGAGAGAGAGGGGGTGGAGGGTGAGGTTACTGCTATGAATAATACTGAGTAAAGGGGGAGGGTGGAGATACTGAGGAGGGGGGGGGGGTGATACAGGCTTATTAACCCTACCACTGCTGAGGGGCTTCTGCTGAATGCTCTGATAATGTTACTCAAAACCACATTCCGATGCTGACTGCTCACTTCCCATCATAACTTCCTCTTCGTCTCTTGTGCGTAAAAGTCCCAATTAAACAATCAGCACACAGAAACGTCTTGTTAGAACAGAAACATCTTTGTGTACTTTTTGAAAAATATCAATGAGAGAGCTTTACAGAATAAAATTAAAAAAAAGAACTTCCCGAAGACCATCCATGCCCTGGAATGCATAAAGAGTGTCTTAGGTTGGCCATGCACGATTCACTTTTTTTCCCTTCAACTAGTGGGTTGAATTAAAAAAATATGAGCCGATTCCCACATCCACACATTCAATGGGGATAGGGGAATCCTTCCCGCTGTGCTATTTTATTCTGCTGGCAGGGAGCCTTCCCTGCCGTCAGAATACAATGATCAGTGTTTCCGGCTATAGCCAGCACCACTGATCATTCAGGAAAAACCCAACAAGCTGGTTGTACAAAAGTCAGCTGAATTTCAATCCACGTATTGCTAGCTATAGACACTCATCAAAAATTTGTCTCCCATGCATGCAACAAATGGTGACATTTTAAAGTCCCTGTTCACACCTGTGTGGTTTGTTGTGCGACAAGAGGCATCCCATTATGGTCTATGGGGCCCATTCACACCTATGGAGTGATATTCTGTGCGACTCAAAAATAGTTATTTTTGGTGCAAGTTTGGCTCCATAGACTTCGATGGGATCACATGAAAAATGCACAAAAGCATAACAAATGCACCAAAAATGCAAGAAAGTTTAGACAAATACGTATATAACTTGACCCAAAAGAGGAAGTTCTGCTTGTCTGCATCCTTCCCCCCTCCAGTGCCACACGTGGCATTTTTGGGGAAGGGGGAGGGGTTAGCGGGTACCTGGTTTTGACAGGTACCCGCTCCCATTTCCGGGTCAGATCCGTGATGATCTGTGATGAAGTTCTGCCCCTCCTCCTTCCCTCTGTAGCCTTCGGAGACACACACAGGTCCCAAAAGACTGCAGGACCATTCACAAATGCAGCTTGGCTTGCTCATGAGCTGTAGGAAACCAACTGTGAAGCCGGAAAGCTTGACTGCCGGTTTCCCTTACCTGAGATGCCAGCAACTGCACCAGAAGCTAATTGAAGGATCAGTTCGGGTGAGGACATCGCTGGATCCCTGGACAGGCAAGTGCCCTTATATTCAAAGTCAGCAGCTACAGTATTTGTAGCTGCTGAGTTTTAATTTTTTTTTTTTTTGGGGGGGGGGGGGGGACTGGAGCTCCTCTTTAAAGTAATATTAAAGGTTAATTTTTTTTTTGTTGGTTTTTAAATAACAAGCATGGGATACTTACTTACTTTGTGTAATGGTTTTGCACAGAACAACCCCAATCCTCTTCTTCATGGGTCCTCCGCCAGCACTCCTGGCTCCTTGCTCTATGCGATTATAAGACACATAAAGTAATGGGTCAGCCCAACCCCCTGTTCTCTCCTCATTGGCTCACTGGCTATGATTGACAGCAGTGGGAGCCAATGGCTTCTGCTGCTATGTCTCAGGCTATGAGGAGCAAGAGACCCAGGAGAGCCGAGGCTCCTGTGCACAATGCTGCATCGAGAGGGGGCTCAGGTGAGTATTAGGGGGCTGTGGGGGGAGCGAGACACGTGGGACAGCCAAGGCTCCCATGCACATCGCTGCATCGAGAGGGGGCTCAGGTGAGTATTGGGAGGGCTGTGAAGAGATAGACATAGAATGCACCTTTACAACCACTTAAAGGCTGGATGTACACCTATGTATTTTTAAGCCATAGCGTACGTCAACACGTTGTTTTCAAGGCAAATTGCAAAACACTTTGTATTGAATGTCAGCACACATCATCACCACATCAATGCGCGTTGATGTGCATCATGATATGTACCATTAGACATCAACGTGCATCATTGTACATGTTAACGGACGAATTATCGCATTCGTTAATATGTATTTCTATTGATTTCAATGGAAAATACATCAAACGAAAAACACAAAAGCATGAATCCAGCCCTTCAGTAAGGTGTATATAAATCTGTTGCAGAATTACACATGCGACACAATTTACTCTAACACAGAAGAGATATTATTTACCTCCACATATTACCAACACGGTGGTATTTTTTAATGAACTAAATCGCAGCCATAGTGACAGAATTTTGAAAAATCCTGAAATTGTGTAGCAGAGGACTTTTAAATGGGCAAATCAAGAAATTTCAGTGCTATAAAAAATGCATACAATTAAAAAATCCACATTTATTTATACAAAAGATAAAAATACATATTCATAACAACGGACTCACAAATATGTTCTACATCTAAATGTGTGTAAATCAAGTAAAACAGTCCACATGAAAGCTCAACGCGTTTTGAACATTCGTTGGCTTCTTCAGGAGAACACATTAACAGAATCTAGAAACATAGTACATGAATATCATGCTATCAAATATATGAACCTAAAGATGGGCAACAATGTTTCATTTTATATACACACGTTAGTCCTCATGCACACTTGATGTTTTTACAGCGGCTGTTTTTGGCTTTTGACGTTTTTTTTTCTACAGCCAGTAAACCCCCCAGCATGTTATCCTATGTGTCCATACACACAGACTGTAATCAACGTTTTTTGGCTGGAAAAAACGGGTTTCTACAGGAGTTTTTTAGCTGGAAAAACGCTCTAATGGTGAGAAACGCGGCAAAACGCTGCAAGTGCTATCAAACCGCCCAGTGTACATGGAGCTTTACTAATATGATTGAGAAAAATCCTTAAAAACACAGAATGCTGCTGCATCTAGTGGCAGCACTAAGCCACCTCTGAATGCAGCAAGGTATCCGCAGATATGCGCCAATGTAAATGTAGCCTAAGGTCCACAGGCAGACAGACCTCTCACTCAGGGGCAAGAAGTGATAAATCCAAGATTGAAATTCTGCTGAGAAAAGGAAACAGTTACTGATACATCTCAGAGTTGTTTAAAAAAAAAGTTGGAAATCATCTGCATGTACTAAAGAGCACTTCTGATGCCTATATACTGTTCCTATTTCTTTTGTGAATTTTTTTTCCATACTTAGTGAAAGGTTTATTTTGAAAAGAACTATATATTTGTCACAAAATATTTTTCAGCATGCATGAGACCAGCCATACCCAACACAACATGAAGCAATCCTGGAATCTTCCCATCATCCAAAGTGTTGGTTTTCCAAAGCATGGCTTTGTGACACTAATGCCATTTTACTACAAGCGGCTTTAGTTGCAGTCCTGACTGGAAACTCAGTCCTGCTTTACCATGATGTGAGGAATGCTTCAGTCTCATATCGGGATGGTCAATATTTCAAGCAAGCCAGATTCCAGTCTCCAGCTGGGACTCAATCAATGCACTGCCTGTGCCATACACGCTGGTCCTGGACATTATGTCTGCGTCGCCCCTAACAGCATCCTCCGTGAAGACAAGAACCACCTGAGATGCCAATGTGTACACAGCAATACTAGCACAATGGATCTGTAAAAGCAGACTAGAAAATGTTAGATTCAATTCTCAAAATAATATTGTATTTTTTTCCTTTCAATTCACCATGGCCTCATTCACACCACACATTGAGCCATGCTGGGTAAGGCCTCTTTGACACTAGCAGCAAACTTTACAGCTCTCTGAAGAGTGATCTATGGTGCATTGCTTTTCAGATTGTAATTGACAGCCGGCTTATAGGCATTCAGGAGGCGATACTGCTGCCTTTTGTATGCCTGTTTCATCAATTCCAATGGGGATTTTACATTGAACTCTCACGTCCCAATTGCCATAGCAGTGTTTGGAATGGGGTTGTGCCATGGTCTCATTAACTTCAAAGGCTTATTTCTCCTTTCTGAACATGTTACACGCATATTTAGGGTGTAGCTTGTAACATGTTGAGCATCTGCCTCCTCTCTCCTCGATCTGCCGCCTCCCTGTGACAGAGAACTGGGGATTCTCTCCCCGCACCCGCTATCACAATTTAGAAACAGCACAGCTGTGCAATGGGCTCAACCCACACAGCCACATAATTCATTCCCAGAGTTCTGTGAAAGAATGCCTACAAGTACCATCAACCACCATGGTGACACTGTTCTACTTGTAGAGGGTGATGAAGTTTTTTTTTTTTACACCGATTGCTTTTACACCCATAAAGGCTGTAAAAGCAATCATTTCTCCTCCTCTCTAGCTGCATTCTTGCAGCCATTGAGAACTACTGTGTGAGCTGTGATTGGTCACAGCTTGTCACATGGTACAAGGCTGTTGTGAATAGTCTTGTACCATGTGACCTCTGTGATCATTCACAGATTTCACACGTAGTAAGCAATGATGTCAGAAGTGACATCTTGCTTACTACTCTGCATGTGATCACTGATTGGCCAATCAGTGATCACATGATCGGGACCTCACACAGAGGTCCCGTCTGACGATCAGTATTCCACTGTGTCCGGAGGACACAGCAGGCACCGGATTGCGGTGCTGCACGCTCCCAGGTAGCGTGC